GTCGCCCAGCCAGCCTCTCACGGCGGAAGTGGGTGGGTGGGTGGGGGTATTGTGGGTGGGGTTTGCACCTGGGCTTCCCAGGTCTCCTCCTCCTCGTCAGGCACTTTAGCCCCCCACCACCACCACCCCAGGCTGCCTCTCTCACGGGGGGGGGGACCCTCTGGCTGAGAGGATAAAGCCTGAGGGGGAATCCCAGGCGGTGGGCGTGCATATGACTATGTGATGAATGTGTATTCATTTCCTTAACTGGCAATTGCTGCCTGTCTGTCTGTTTTTCAGAGAACATTCCGAGAAATCATGTTCCTACAGGTAAGAAATGCTTGTCTGAACCCTAAGCAATGTAGCATGGAAATGGGGCCCTGGTACTAACAACTGGTTACAACAGCTCCCTCAGGAACCTTTCCTTTGGTAGAATCTTTATACATAAACCATTGATGAAATGTCATCTCCGTTTTGTGTGGCTTCCTGTTGGAGAGATCTCAGGCTGACCCTCCAGTTTTGGATAGCCCCATTCCTCGGGTAGGAGGCTAGAGCTTCGCTCCAAGCCACAAGCATAGGAAAACTTAGAACTTGAAACGTAGGAGTTGTGCATCTTTCAGAAGGGGTCAGTAACACTAAGAACAGACCCGTCCTTTGTGCCCAAGGTCAGCTCACCGTCAGTTCATTGAACCAGCCACTTATCCTTCCTTCCTTCTGTTCAAAACCAAAACATCCCAAGGAGAAATCCTGACACAAGCGGGATGTGCTCAGGGCTCTGCACATCTACTTGGACAGAGCACCCCCTTTCAGGCCGTCAGACTCTCTCTGTTCGTTTCACACAGCAATCAAAACCTGGGGGGAAGGGTTAAGAAGTCCGCCATTGCCTTCTTTAGGGCACCAGGGGCAGGCTCTGTTCCGTGGCTCTGGTGCTTCCTCCCCACAGAGACGGGCCTGGCAACACACTTGCCCTGCTTGGGGCACCAAATGAACGTGCCTTGTGGAATCTCCCTGTAGCTGAAATTTCAACTGTCCTATAATTGCACTCGTTGTTTTAGACTGTTTTAGACACTTTGTGTCGCCCCCCCCCACCCCCCCCCCCCCACCTTTCTGACCCTGCACGCACTGCTGGAATTCTGACGCAGGGTGTTGGGCAGACATACAGAATGGCCACTGCAGGAGGCAGAGGCAGCTACAACATGTCAAGAAGTGAGGTTATGCATAAATCTAATAGTAACTCTTCAGCCTTCCAGGATGCCTTTTGAATTGAGCATATTGTTTACCCTTTTTTTTTGGCCTACACACAGCTTATCTCCAGTCACAGCTGACCTTCAGCCACACAGTGAAGATCCTTGTGCTGTGGTGGCAGCTGCTGCCAAAATGATGCTTTTAAAAAATGTGCATATCCAATCAGAAGCACGCCTTCCAAACATGCTTGATGGGTGCTGGGAAAGGATGTCAGTGGGCATCACACGGGGGACCCCTGCTTTATGTAGTGCCATTTTAAGATCTTCCATTTTAACCTGATTTTTCTTAATGCTTTTGTATTCATTTTGGTCTGATTCTGTTTTCTATTTTTATTTATTAATTCGTTCATATTTATAGCCCACCCTTCCCACGAGTGGGCTCAGGGTGGGTAACAACTCTCATCAGTGCGATAAAAACAATATTTTGTTAATACAATAGATAATTAGAATGTCAAGACACCTTCATGTACATTAAAATGGTGGTCACAACCCTACAGTAGAAAAGTTAACAGTTGCGAGAGGTCCTCCTGGCCCATGTTAAGGTGTAAATAGTGGCCAGGAGTTGTTAAGTGGGTGACATTGGACGTCCGCTGCCTCAGCCGAAGGCTTGGTGGAACCGCTCCGTCTTACAGGCCCCGTGGGACTGAAGGAGATCCCCCCCCCCGCAGGGCCCCGATCTCCATGGGGAGCATGTCCCGCCTGCGCGCAGGGTGGAGAAAGCCCTGGCCCTGGTTGAGGCAAGACAGACGTCTTTTGGGGCAGGGACCGCCAGGAGATGTTGATCCATGGAGCGTAACGTTTTTCGGGGCATATACAGGAGGTGGTCCCTCAGGTATGTCGGTCCCAGGCTGTGTAAGGCTTTAAAGGCTATTACCAACACCTTGAAGCAGATCCAGAATTCAGCTGGTAACCAATGCAATTGGCGGAGCACCTGCTGGACATGAGCCCGCACAGGCGTCGCCGTTAGCAGGTGTGCTGCCGCATTTTGCACCAGCTGTCACTTCTGGGCCAGCCTCAAGGGCAAGCCTGCACAGAGCGAATTGCAGTGATCAGTCCTGGAAGTGACCCTTGCATGGGTCACTGTGGCCAAGTCTTGTGGGGAGAGAGAGGGTCTCAGTAACCTAATCTGCTGAAGGTGGAAGAAGGCAGACCGGGCAGCTGCAGCAACCTGGGCCTCCATGGAAAGAGAGGCCTCCAGTGTCGCTCCCAGGCACCTCACTGTCTGGGCTGGCACCAGAGGTGCCCCTTCCAGCATGGGGAGCTTACTGTTTGATATTTTTTGTGGTGTTGTTTTATTTATAAGCTGCCTTGACAACATCTAAATGTTTTCTGATATAAACAATAGAAGGCTTTAAAGGCTTCCTCATTTTACATACATACATACATACATACATATATATATATATAGAGAGAGAGAGAGAGAGAGAGAGAGAGAGAGAGAGAGAGAGAGAGAGAGAGAGAGAGAGAGAGAGAGAGAGAGAGAGAGAGAGAGAGAGAGAGAGAGAGAGATCTCCCAGTTTTCTTTCTGGATCAGGACCCAAAGCAGCTCTTCACATAGTTCTTCCTCCCTCTTCCATCTTAACCTTCACAGCCACCACCTTGGGAGACCTCAGGGTTAGTCTGAGAGAGGGTGACCAGCCCCAGCTCCTGTTGCCCCCAGAGGCCCTAGTCCGACACCAGCCCCTCTGCTGTGCCAGCTCTCGGACAGGCGTTCAGAGCACTGAGATCCCTTGAGTCTGGTATGCTGGTCTTTTCCCTGCAGGAATTTGGAGAACACCCAAACATCATTAAGCTCCTGAATGTCATCCGGGCTCAGAATGACAAGGATATTTACCTGGTTTTTGAATCCATGGGTGAGCTCTTCCCGCTTATAAATTGTAGCTTATAAATGTTCTCTATATCTCACGTACACTGCTTGGTTTGTTGGGAAAAAAACAGAGAATATAAATGTTACAAAATGAATCCTAGATCTGTAAACAGCTCTTTAGATGCTGAGATAGCTGTGAGCCGCTGGAAGAGACAAGCAAGGTACGTGGGATCTCAAGCAGTGCTTTCATAATGGCCATTTATCTTCTGCTGTCCCCTATTGCAGAGACAGATTTGCATGCTGTGATTAAGAAGGGGAATTTACTGAAAGATATTCACAAGTGTTACATCCTGTATCAGCTTCTGAAAGCCACCAAATTCGTCCACTCAGGAAACGTCATTCACAGGGACCAGAAGGTGCATGTCTGAGAAGGACCCTGGCTGGAGGCACATCTTCCCTTAGAGAAACTGCAGGCGGGTGGGCGCTGGGGCGTGCGTGCGTGCGTGCTGGATTGCCAGTGCCTGCCTAGCCCTTTTGCACATCCCCCACCCCTCTCCAGGCATGCCATGGTATTTCATCAAGACAATATACCCTTTCCTGTTTCCAGCCTTCCAACATCCTGCTGGATGCAGACTGCTTTGTTAAGCTGTGTGACTTTGGGCTGGCTCGTTCCCTGTGCCAAATCCACAAGGATCATGGCAACCAAGCGCTCACTGAATACGTCGCGACTCGCTGGTACAGGGCCCCTGAGATTCTGCTTGCTTCTCATAGGTAAGGAAATGAAATCCTGTGAGTCTTGAAGAAGCAGGGTAGCTGGGGAGATCAGTTTGGTAGTTTGACCTGATCTTTCTCCCTTCCTCGTGATGGTGGCCGTGGGGCAAAGCAGCTGTGAACCTACAGCTATGGAGGGGCATAAAAGATGCTTTGGAGAAAATCTCACATTGTCTCTGTAGAGCCTGATTTCTCCAAGGCTCATCTGTTTGCTTCGTTTTCCTACACCGTATGAACATATGAAACTGCCTCTGTTACCAAGTGAAGCCGTTGGTCCAGCTTTCCGAGGACTGACTGCTCTGACTTGGCAGCAGCTCTTGAGAGTCTCGGCCTTCAGAGGCTAAGGTGGATAGTGAGCAGCCTCAGAAGGTGCCCCTCTGCCCTCCCCCCCTTCCTGGAAAGAGCCAGCAGGATTGTTCTCCAACATTGTGGGAAATCGGTGCTGTCTTCAGTCTTTCAGGGAGACCGCTGTTCCACAGGTGCTGTGGTGCGTGTCTTGTCAGTTCCACTGTGGTGGGTGGCTGGTGAAGTTGGCTCCAAGCAGGTACTTGGACTTGTGTTGCTACGATCTTATTTTGTTGCACTTGTGTTTTACATCCTTTGTCTGCTATTTTGCCGCTATATATTTTGCTTTTATTTTAATTTCTGTTTCGTAGATTTTAAGTTTTATCTTTTGTATTTATGAAACATGATTGTGAGTTGTCTTGCACATTCGTATGGAGAGATGGCAGGGGAATACTGTAAAAATAGTAAACTTAATTCTACAAGATACTGGGTTGGAGCCTTCAACTCTGTTCTGCTAGTACAAAGGGCTTTTTCCGCTGGTGGAAACTGCCCCGGTGAACAAAATGGCGTTCTGGGATTGAACCCGTAGGAGTCCTCTCCAGGCCCAGCTCTGGGTACCCCTGCTTCCTGGGGTTGAGGCAGGGGGCAGCGACAGCCAGGGCGTTTTCTGCGGTGGCCCCTTGCCTTTGGAATGGCCTCCCCCTCCAGCCTTGCCTGGCCCCTTTTTATGGTCTTTCAGGTGCCAGGCTGAAGCACATCTTTTTATTGAGGCTTTTCATTAGGGGGTTTATCGTACAGGGTTTCAATGGCCTGCTCGGCTTTATGGACAGTTTTTATGCTGCTTTTATGTCTAATGGCTTGTTTTTTGATGACTTGTTTTTATGCAGTGCTTTTTAATTGTAAGCTTTCTCGAGCAGGACTCTGAAGAGGCCTTATAGAAATATTCTATATGAATAATTAAAGCTGTAGGCCCAGTCCTGTGTGGCATCTGCACATGAGCCCTGATTAGCCAGGGGGTGAGGTTGCGCTGTCCGGGCTGGGGTCAGGTAGCTGACGCCCCTTTGCAGTGGCTGGGTGGCTCAGCCACAGGAACCAAGTCTGTGGGTCTGGCATTTGCTCCGTCAGTTGTGCACATCCTTCCATAGGTTTGTTCCTGTTCCCTTTCCAAGGCCAGTCTGAGTCTGCAGAGCTTAACCTCACTTGCCTGGAGAGAACCCCAGGCCGCTGCATGGAACATGCTCGGTGGATGGTTGGGGGGGGGACCGTTCCACAAAGCCCTGTTGGTCCTCTGCAGCCACCCCCACCCTTCAGGTGTGTGCTGGTGTCAGTCACCCCCACATAGATTCCCGTGGCCCTGCGTGTGTGGGTGCTGCCACCGTTGTGCAGGAAGCCCGAGTGATGTAGCAGCATGCTGCATGACTTAGCCTCTGCCTTGACCAGGCCTGGGCTGGGGCTTATATTGCTGGGTGCTGGCTGTGGGTGGCTGCTGTGTGGGTGGGGGCTGGGTCTTAGACCCGTGGCAAATGCCTGCACCACTTGTCAGCCTCCTCTGGCCTCCAGGCTGCAGTGTTGTGGTACTAGGCTGAGGCGGGGTGGGGGGGAGGTTGCTTTTCCCTGCAGACTACATCACTTACAGACTACGTCGTGGGTTTTGTTGGCATAGCAGTTGGGCCTCAGCTGTGCAGGTGATGCTTCTGAGTTGCCTTCGGGAACGGGCTAGCCCCTGTCACACCCTTGGCGGCACCCCTTCTCCCTCTGCAAGGGGGGTTTGGCAGCAGGGCCGTGGTGGGGGCTGTGGCAGCACCCTGCAACACCACATCAGTGTAATTCTGGGACACACCAGGGTTGTGCCTATAGTCTGCTCTTTGAGCACTCCCCCCCCCCTCTGTTTGAATGTATTCTGAGTCTGCATGAAAGAGATTACTGTTTTTCAGAGCAGAGAGTTAGAATCTGTGCTTTTTTCTTCAACTTCTAGAAGTTGCTCTACTTGGTACTCTGGTCTCACCTATTCCCCGCATCCTCCTGTTTCTTCTTGATGTAGCTAACCCTGTAGAAACGGAGATCCCAGAGTCTCTGCTAGGTGGCTTGCATTCCTTGTCAGTCTTGGAAGGTGTGCCCAGCATTGTAATGCACACTGATAAGGCTTGGCTTTGAACTAGGCGTAGGTTCTATATCAAAAAGCGGAGTTTGGCTATGAGCTGTCTGAAATATGCAATAGTATCTTTATTCAACAGTCAGGTTAGAAAATGAAAAACAAACATCACACCTGGGATAAGGGAAGAACTTAAGAAAAGGAGATGGAGTAAATGTTCACATAGTAGAGCAAATAAGAAAAAAGAGGGAGGGGAACAAGATGCAATGGTTTGGAATCTTGAAACGGTGGGATGGTATAGCCACCCCAGTGGTTGCCCCACCCCCAACCCGGCCACTCGAGTCCTGACAGCGATGGTCTTTTTCTCCTGCAGCTACACCAAGGGTGTGGACATGTGGAGCATCGGCTGCATTTTGGGGGAAATGTTGCTCGGGAAGCCCCTGTTCCCAGGCACATCCACGGTCAACCAAATTGAGCACATCTTGCGCATCATACCTCCTCCATCCGCAGAAGGTGAGAATGGTTTGAAGGGCTTAACGAGCTCAAGGAAAGGGGGAGCAGGACATGAGCCCAGGTAAGAACTAGCCTCCTAACCTGGAGAGGGTGGAGCTTTGGGGGACCCTGAGATAGATGGGCCATGAAGGGGGGGTCACAATCTGAAGTTACAGAATTGCATTTGCTCACGCCCTTCTCTTGCGCTGTGCTTCCTGCTGTGCTGGTGGCAAACTGAAGGTCCCCTGAGAGCCATTAACACTTTGTCCTGAGCAGTAATGTGGCTTCATAACTAGGGATGCAGTGAACGGTGCCCCGAACACGCTCAGCAGCCAGACTTACTGCATTAAAACATGTCTATCAGATTCAAGTTGTTGGTCACCTGATCTGTTCAGTTCATGCTGAACAGCATCAAAGGCTTATCGAACTGGTTTGCCCTAGTTTTTGTGGAACTCTGCACATGCAAAGACGATACTGATTCAAAGTGCTTGGTGGTCATTAGCATCACTAAAGGCTACTTAGATGGGCCCTGAAGGATAAGATTTTATTGGACTGATTTGTAAGTGGTCTATTTAAACAACTGCATGCTGAGCAGAGCAGATAAACAGCTCTGTATTTATCTATAGTGGCCTCTCCTGCTCTGACTAGCTTCATTCCACCATGACTGCCTTTCTCACCCACCCATTTGCTCTGCACCCTTCCGTCCACGGCTACCCACAGCCAGCATCCCTTGGGACTTTGAACTGCGCAGCAGACACCATCTAGAAGTTTTGGCAATGTTTTAGTTCTGTTTTGTTAGTAATTTTATAGTTATTAAGGTTATATTATATTTCAGTTATGTTGTATGTTTTAACCATGTTGTAACCCACCCTGAGCCTGTTGTTCAGGGGAGGACCAGCTAAAAATGGAAAGGAGGGAGGGAGGGGGATAGCCGAATTCAGTCAGGCTGTATGGGAACTTGCTTGCACAAACAGCCAGTTACACTATATGGCGTTGTTAGGAAGGAATATGGCGAACGAATACAGTGAAGCAGCCTGTTAAACTTTAACAAACAGATCAGTGAACTGTTGAACTGATCACAGAAAAAATTAAGTTCCTGTTCACAGCTGGTGAAGAGGATGCGAGCCAAACAGTTGGGGGTTTGAGCATCCCTATCCGTAGTACTTCATTGGATATCTGTTGCTGGATGATGATTGGAACAGCAGTGAGATTCTGAACTGCACAGAATTCTTACAAGTAGGAAAAGGAACAGCATAATGTACACTGAGAAACTTGATATTATTTCTTTGTGGCCTCTACAAATCACAGTGAGGGGATTGGGTCTCTGCAGAACAGCAGTTCAGAAACTTTGAGGAACCTAAGTTGTGTGGAAAGGCACCTTTAGACTATATTAAATAAATAAATAAGTAGACTTTGGGGGATGCTGGTCAACAGTGACCAATAGAGATTAGGGATTTGCCCCGAGCCAGAAGCAGCATGTACCAGTTGGCTGGTGAGCATGGGGGCTGATTCTCCCAGAGGGATGGCAGTATGGATGCCTCTTCCTGAATTCTGCCGAGTGGCTACCTTGGCTCAGAGGTCCCCATTCATCAAACAGACTGTACTGAACTCTCTCTTCAGTTGAAGCGCCTTTACGCAGGACAGCTTGTTAGTCTGTACCCATCAGTGTTACGTGCAGAGACGAGAAACAAGTGAAAATAGCGTACTTAAATATAACTGTTGATCTTTGAGTAGTCATCTGGGCTCGCACACTCCCGGCACACCCTTCCTGCAGCAGGTGCCTTAAACATGCATACTCATGGTAGTAAAAAGACCCAAAATATAAAAATGGTGGCAAGTTTACAGATTTTGTTGTTCAGTCGCACAGTCGAGTTCGACCCCTCGCGACCCCATGGACCAGATCCCGCCAGGTCCTCCTGTCTTCCGCCGTCCTCTGAAGCTGGCTCAATTTCATGTTCGTTGCATCTATGACACTGTCACAGATACAGATAAGCATCAGTAAAAACGTTTCTAAGGATCTAAAAATATGTCTACGCACAACTGACATGAGCTTCTAAGTCTTTTTCGAAGTCTTTCTCAATGGGTTCTTTGCCTTTACTGTACAATTCAGAGTTATTGCAGTAGAGGGGGTATATATTTTGTTCTTCTCATCCTTGGTTGGAGGAGTCTAATTCTTGTTCTTTTGCTGCTTTAAACAGTGTGCTAAGATTTCACCTGGCCTCTCACCACCTCCATAATACGAGTGGCACAAACAAGTTAAAGCACATTCTATTGTTTAACTTGTATTTCATTTTTGGCAGCTCCCAATGCAGACCTAATATGGGGAGATACAACACATTGACCAGTAAAATATATTTCAACTTATTTTTCAAGGTTGTTTCTTCCCTTTCACTGAGTTTCTACTTGTGAGAATCATATACAATGATCCTTCCTCTGATAAAAGCTTTACAAGCATCCCATTCAGTAGCACACGTACCAGCTGCTTCTTGATTAATATTAAAATATCCTGATAACTCAGCCATCATCTGAGCTTCAGAACTTTCATTCTTAAGAAGGGAAACATGAAGCCACCATGAGCGAGGTCACAGAGCTGGAAGGGGCCATACAGACCCTCTAGTCCAACCCCCTGCTGCTCAGCGCAGGGCCAGCCTGGAGAATCCTGGTGTTTGTCCAGACACTGCTTAAGGACTGCCAGTGAGAAGGGGGAGCTCACCTCCTCCCTAGGCAGCTGGTTCCACTATTGCACAACTCTGACTGTCAAAAAGTTTTTCCTAATGTCCAGCCGGGTACCTTCCTGCCCTTAATTTAAACCCATTATGGCGAGTCCTCTCCTCTGCTGCCAGCAGGAACAGCTCCCTACCCTCCTCTGAGTGACACAGCCCTTCAAATACTTCAAGAGAGCAATCATGTCCCCCTCAGCCTCCTCTTCGCCAGACTGAACTTTCCCAAGAAGTCCCTCAGCCTTTCCTTGCAGGGCTTCTTGGTCTCCAGGTCTCCAGATCATCCTCGTCACTCTCCTCTGCACCCGCTCCATTCTGTCCACATCCTTTTCGAAGTGAGGCCTCCAGAGCTGCACACAAGAAGACTCCAGGTGCGGCCTGACCAATGCAGTGTACAGCAGGACTATGACATCTTGTGATTTGGATGTTATACCTCTGTTGACACACCCTGAGATCACATTAGCCTTTTTTGTCGCCGCATCACACTGGCTGCTCATATTTAATTTTCGGTCCACCCTTACCCCATGATCTTGTTCACACACACTGTACTCAGAAGTGTAACCCCCATCCAGTATGTGTATTCCTAATTTTTGCTACCGAAATGTAGAACTCAGCACTTATCCTTGTTAAATTGGATCTTGTTCACATCTGCCCACTTTTACAGCATGTTCAGATCTTGTTGAATTCTATCTCTATCTTCTGGTGTGTTCGCTGCTGTTCCCAATTTAGTGTCATCTGCAAATTTAATGAGTAGCCCTCCACACCCTCATCCAGATCATTGATACAAATATTGAAAAGTACTGGGCCCAGAACCGAGCCCTGTGGCACCCCACTGGTCACCTCCCTCCATTCAGATGAAATGCCATTGACAACTACTCTCTGAGTGTGGTTCTCCAACCAGTTCCCTATCCACCTAACTATCCTAGAGTCCAGTCCACAGTCCTTTAGTTTACCCATCAGAACATCATGGGGAAGCCTGTCCAAAGCTTTACTGAAATCCAGGTAAACAACAATAACAGCATTCCTTCGATCCAGTAAACTTGTCACTCGATTGAAGAAGGAAAGGACGTTGGTCTGGCAGGACCTGTTGGTGACTGATTGGTGCTGACTTTCCCGGATCCCAAGTTGTCCTTTAGACGCTCGCAGATTGATCCCTTTAAAATCTACTTTGGTATCTTCTCTGGGTCAGACTGACTGGCCTGAAGTTTTCTGGGACATCCCTCCTCCCTTTTTTGAAAATTGGGATAACATCTGCCCTCCTCCAGTCTGGTGGCACATCTCCCGTCCTCCAAGAGGTCTGGAAGATGATGAATAAAAGGCTCTGCAAGCTCTCTAGAAGGTTCTTTGAGGACTCTTGGGGTGCGTACCATCTGGCCCTGGGGATCTGTACTCATTCAGTGCAGCCGGGTGCTTCAACTACCTCTCTGTCTATGTCAACCAGCAGCCCAGACACTGTGCCTTGCCTACTGCCATCTCTAGAAGAGCCTGTTCTCCTCTTCAGGGAAAAAAGCTGAGGCGAAATAGGCATTGAGCCTTTCTGCTTTCTCAGAAAACTTAAACAAGGTGGGTGAACCCACACCACTTGTTCTTGGTACCTCCTGCATAATGCTGGAGGCAGGCAAGGTGAGGCCTCCCAGTCTCGTGGCATGCCTGTTCCTGTACCTGCCTGCTCCTGCCGGGTTCTGCTGGCTGAGGCCTCCTGAAGGGGGAGGCATCTTCGGGCCTGGGTCGGCCCCTCGCATTGTTGTCCCCTCCTCCATTTTATCCTCACCCACCCCACCCCCGTGAGATAGGGTTAGGCTGGGAGTGTGTGACTGGCTCAAGGTCACCCAGCAAGCTTCCCTGACAGAGTGGGATCTGAACCTGGGTCTCCAAAAGAAAGCATGCTTCTGAACTGGAGGTGAACTTTTATTTAATTTCATTGGAGATAGTAATAATTCTGGGAGATCTCCAGGCTCCGCATGGAAATTGGCAAGCCTGGTTCTAATCGTAGTGCTGCTGCTGCTGCTCCCTTTTTGCCCCCCTAACAAAATAATTCTGGCTATGGGCCTGGCACTGTAGGGCCCTGTGAGTCCTATAGGAGTTTGGGGCAACAGGGGGTGTGAGGTGCCTTCAACCAACTTAAGCGCAACTCTTCTGGACAAGCAAAAACTGTCCATTGGTTATCTGTGCTGTTTACGTCCAGACCGGGCCATTGCAGTGGACTCTTATTTGGGAATACCCGTGTGGACTGTGCAGGACTTTTCTGCAGCTACAAGTCAGTGCAAAATTGCTGATGAATACCAGTGAGGATGAATACATCTTTGCAGGCTTAAGCAGTGCAGGTTATTTTATAGTCCGGCTTTCCCACTGAGATGCAAGGCATATTACACAGTGTAAATAGGAACATCAGAAGAGCCCTGCTGGATCAGACCAGGGAGGGTCTATCTACTCTAGCATCCTCTTTCACACAGAATGGCCAGCCAGTTCCTCTGGAGGGCCAACAAAAGGATACAGAGGTCAAGGCCTTCCCCTGAGAGGAACATCAGAAGAGCCCGTCTGGATCAGACTAGTGAGGGTCCATCCAGTCCAGCATCCTGTCTCTCACAGAATGGCCAACCAGTTCCTCTGGAGGGCCAACAACAGGGCAGAGAGGCCGAGGCCTTTCACTGATGTTGCCTCCTGGCTCTGGGATTCAGAGGATTAGTGCCTCCAAATGTGGAGGTTCCCCTCAGTCACCATGGCTAGCTGCCACTGATAGACTTACCCTCTATGAATCTATCTCATCCCCTTTTAAAGCTATTTATTCCTGTGGCCATCACTACATCCTCTGGCAGCCAATTCCACATTTCCATCCCTTTCTGTGTAAAGTAGTATTTCCTTTCTAGTCTGAAACAAAGCCATAAGTATTAGGCATGATACGTTAAACAGTGCAGGAAATGATACTATGTTTGTATAGAAAGCACTGTTTGCTGTACCTGTTACCCTATTCTCAGTGCTTTGTATACTTATGTGGTATCATTTTTTTGATGTTTACAAGTATAACAAAATGGCTCAGGAAGGGGTTTTTTTTAATAAAAGGAACAGGACTATACAGAGCATGTACCACAGTTTAGTGTCCTGTTACTTTTATTTTAAAAAAACAACCCTTCCTGAGCCATTTTGTTATACCTGTTAACTTCCAGGTGAGAGGCAGAGTGCTGCCTGTGGTCATTAAAGCCCTAAGTGGCTGTTCACATGAAGAGAGCTGACAGAGAGAAATTTTTCTCCTTCTCTCAAAATACCAGAACTTGAGGGTATGCAGTGAAGCTGATGGGCTGTAGGTTCAGGATGAACTAAACGAAATACTACTTTACGCAGAGAGTGCTTAAAATATTGAATTCACTGCCAGAGGATGTAGTGATGGCCACAGGAATCCCTCTAAGTTGAGTTAGCGTGCGCTAGCTCGGGTTTTTAGCCTCTGGCTTACACATTTTTCTCTTACCTCAGGAAGGATGGCTCCAGAGCAAACTAATTTATGCAGTAGCCAAATCACCTGCTCACAACTCTAATGCCAGTAGCTCAGAAAGTAGAATTTTTGCTCACAGGACTCCACAGCTTAGAGGGAGCATTGGATGCGATAGATTTAGAGAGGGTAAGTCTATCAATGGCGACTAGCCATGGTGGCTGAGGGGAAGCTCCACATTCAGAGGCACTAATCCTCTGAATCCCAGAGCCAGGAGGCAACATCGGGGGAAGGCCTCTCTGCCCTGTTCGTTTGGCCCTCCAGAGGAACTGGCTGGCCGCTGTGTGGGACGGGAGGCTGGACGAGAGGGACCCTCTGATGGTCTGACCCAGGAGGGCTCTTCTGGTGTTCTTAAGCGGCCTTATATGGAGTCAGACCATTGGTCTGTTGGGGTCAGTATTGTTTACTAGCCAGCCCTAGCTTCCCAGCAGGATCCCATGGGTCTTTCACATCAATTCCAACGGATCTCCTTCATGGGAGGTGCCAGGGAGGGAACTCTGGGTGTCCTGCAAGCAGCACGGGTGCTCCTCTGCGGAGCTGTGGCCCCAGCCCCGCCTGTTGCCCCACCCCCCCTGGGGCCCACGGCTGCTGCTGTGATACCCCAGGCTGTTCATATCTTCCCTACTTCTTTCTTCGTAATCGTTGCTGTATTGCTGCATCTTCTCCAAAATGTTTTTTTTAAAGAGTTGTTTTGTTTTTTTGTTAATTGAGACTGAGTCCCTTCTGAGCAAATGTCATTCTCTCTCTCTTCAGGACCAGGGCGGAAGCATGATTAACAGAGTTACGTCCCAGTTTTCGGCTATTACAACAGAACTTTAAATTTAAAATTAAAACAGCATATAACTGTACCATACAAAATATTGAAAGCTTTAAATGCCCTCCTGGGGAAAACGCAGGTGGCTTTTGTCTCTGGCTGCCCTTCTGCTCGACCGGCAGAGCCTCTTCCTCCTCCTCGTGGTCACGACCGGACACTGTTTGTGCTTGCAGATGTTGCCGCCCTCCACTCAGACTACAGAGCCTCGATTATCAGCCGCCTGAGCTCCCAGTGAGTCTTCGGTCCCCCTTCTTCTGTCACGAGCAGCCAAGTCCCACCATAGGCCGCCTCCTCCCACACGGAGGTCTTGGGGCTGGTGGGGGTGGACGGAAACTGAAGTGTGTGTGTGTGTGTTTTCCCCCGTTCTGAACACAGGCAACGGGTGACTTTTGAGGACATTTTACCCCCTTCAACTCCTCCTCAGGCCTTGGACCTTCTGAAGAGGCTCTTGGTCTTTAACCCTGACAAGCGGCTGACGGCAGAAGAGGCCCTGAAGCATCCCTATGTACAAAGGCGAGTCTCCCAGCTTGCAGCGACGCTGTCTGGTAGTTTACTCTTTGGTCCCCATGTCAGTGTTTTTTCTTCACGTACGTCAAGATGCATGATTCAGCTAAAACCAGAATAAAGCGGCACATGCCATATCCCTCCCTCCCTCCCCCCCTTAAAAGATGCCTGCCATCCAGCCCGCCTCAGAACCCCTGGCAAACAGGCCAGCCTTGCAGCACTCCCTGAAGACCTCCAAGGAGGGAGACCCTCCCCTCTTCAGGGAGTCAGCTCCACAGAGCTGGAGCCACGTTGGAAGAGGCCCAGGCTCCCGTGGACGCCAGATGGTCCACCGGTGGGTGGGTAAGTGGGATAGCCAACCATAGTTGGGGCACCAGGGGCATACAGAAGGAGTTGGTCCTTCGAGCACCTGGGGTCCCGGGTCATGAAGGGCTTTAAGGTTCGTAACCAGCACCTTGAATGGAACTCAGAAACAGACTGGCAGCCAGGGTAGCTGTTTCAAAATAGGCAATATATGTTCCCAGCAGCTAGCCCCTGACCGCAGCTGGGCTACTACATTCTGGACCCACTGTAATTTCCGGGTTGTCTTCAATGGCAGCCCCACATAGAGTGCGCTGCAGTAAGCCAACTGTGAGGTTACAGACATGCGGATGGATCAGTGTGGCCAGATGAGCTGAGTTTAGGTAACGAGAGAGTTGATGAACCAGATGCAGCGGATAAGGGGGAAAAAGTAGCGTTGGCCTTTATACCCTGCTTTTCGCTACCTCAAAGAGTCTCAAAGCAGCTTACAGTCACCTTCCCTTCATCTCTCCTTAACAGTCTCATTTTGAGGTAGGTGGGGCTGAGAGGGTTCTGAGAGAACAGTGACTGGCCCAAGGTCATCCAGCAGTCTTTGTGTGGTGGAGTGGGGAATCAAACTCGAGTTTACAGATCAGAGACCACGACTCTTAACCACTATGCCATATGCTGGTAGAGAAGAATGGAGTGGCCAGTTGTGTCAGAGGCCACTGAAAGATCTAATAGCATCAACAGGGAAGATTGTCCCATCCAACTTAAAGCGAAGATGGTCCACCAGTGCCACTAAAGCTGTTTTGGTATCAAACCTAGACATGAAACCAGGTTGAAATGGGTGTCGTCCATGAATGGGCAGATGTGTCATCCATGAAGCCCCAAGGCTGCTCTGCCACCACATACTCTATTATTGTTTATTATTATTAGTAGTAGTAGTAGTAGTAGTAGTAGTAGTAATTGCCCTATCCCAGCTTGCACCGGGCTGATTTATTAATTGCCCTATCCCAGCTTGCCACCAGGGTCTGTGTGATGTACAAGGGGCAAAATGCCATGAAACAAAGATACAAATTTTAAAATGTCCATATACAGTTGCTAAGAACTACAACCAGAATAAAAGGATCCAAGGTGGCAAATTACAAATCTAGGTGCATCCTTCAGTCTGAGCTGCAAGAGGTGTTTGCAGAGGCAGTGGGGAGACAGACATGTTCTCTGGGCAAGTGGACGCACCTGTGCCTCTGGAACAGCAGCCTGGAGGGCTATGCCCGAACGCCCCTAGCCCCTGGGAAGGCAGCTGGCAGGTCGTTGTGCCAGCCGTGTCCCCCGTGCCTGAGTAGACCCTCTTTTGGCAGGTTCCACTGTCCCACCAAAGAGCCTGCTCTGGACTACAACGTGATCCTCCCTCTGGACGATGACTTGCAGCTCTCCGTGGCTGAGTATCGCAATAAGCTGTACGAGGTAACTTGCTGTCCCTTCAGCCGAGGGGGCCCTTTGCCTTGACCGCACTGATGGTGAAGGTTTGCTCGACTTACTGGATTTACAGCTTAAAACCCCCCCCCCCCTTTTCTCAGGGTTTTAGCATGGACATCAGGGTGCTAATTATACTACTCTGTTGGCATGGGACAGTAACCCTGTAAAGTGCCATCAAGTGACAGCTGGCTTTTGGCGACCCCAAAGAGACAGCTGGAAGTGGTTCTCCATTGCCTGCCTTCGTGTTGCAACCTTGACCTTCCTTGGTGGTCTCCCATCCAAATACTAACCAGGGCCCACCCGGCTTCATGTCTGTGGTTTCAGGGCAAGAGATGGACAGAGGTGGTTTGCCACTGCCTGCCTCTCCATAACGACCGTGGACTCTTGGCCGTCTTCTGTCTAGATACTAGCCAGGGCCCAGCCCCGCTTAACTTCCAGGGGTCTGATGAGATCGGGCTAGCGTGGGCCGTCCAGATCAGTGCCTGCCACGGAAAGCCCAGCATCAGCACACGTGCTGCTCACAGAAGACACGCAGGCTCAGGCCTTGAGACAACAAGGCTCCCGGGAGAGGGAAGTTAGGAGCCCAGGGGGGGGGGGGAGGGAGGGAAAAGACAGGGAAGCTTCTTCTCCCTCTCCCATATTAGTAGAACTTGGGGGGGCCCAATGAATTTGGTGGGCAGTTAGATACAAGACAGACCAAAGGAAAAACTTCGTTACTGAACGAGTAATTAAACTGTGGGATTCACCGCCAGCCGACATAGTAGCAGCGGAAAGTCCCAGTGGGCCAACACCGACCAGTGAGGAACATGCATGGATGCTTTAGTTGATCAAAGTAAATGCAAATTATGTATTAAGCACAATGTACAGCCCACTAAATCAAGTACCACCAAAGCAATAAATCCTTCAAAGCAAGAAGAGATATAACAAGACATAGAATGTGGGGGAATAGAAAAATGTGCAAACATGTAATGAATTTAAGGCAAAACAATTAAAACCCATATAAATAAATGAATAGAAACAAACCACAGAAATGCATAAATGAAAAACTCATCAAGAAAAGGACATGACATGGATGAAACCCTCAATCACTCTTAGCCCATCTAGTGGAAGCTAAGTTAAGCTTCTCTTTCTTCCTCTCGAATTTTCAGATGGCATCCTTAAAAATAAATAAATAAATTTAAAAAGAGGCAAAGCAATAGAGCAATAAGGCAAGGATGGAAAGAAAAGATAGAAGCAAAGCATGAAGAAGGCTCCGCAGGCAGCACGGAGGAGGAAGAGTCGGGTTAGGTTTGGGTTAGAGGATTTTTTATTTATTTGTTTACTTATTTATTCATTACATGATATTTGTGGATCACCTAATCCCCATGAATGTGGGGCTCTAGGTGATGTACAGATTTAAAACCATAAAAACCACAAAACTATATCCAACATTATACAACAGTTAAAAGCAAGTAACCATATTTTGTGGTCCCCTTCCCATTTCTGGTCCATGGGTGCTTCATGAGCATGGGGGGGCTCTAGGTCTCCACAAGGGAGGGGGGGCCCAGCCCAGCCCAGCCCAGCCCAGCCATGATGTAAACTGTCGCTGTCTTCAACCAAACACCTGGCGGAAATATCTCTGCCTTACAGGCCCTGCGGAATTGTGTAAGATCCTGCAGGGCCCTGATGTTATTTGGCAGAGAGTTCCACCAGGTCGGATGTCTCTGGGGCTGGAGTCCACCAGCAAGTTGTTCTGTAAAGAGCGCAATGCTCTCCCGGGGTTGTAATGGAGGAGGCAGTCCCGCAGATACATTGGTCCCAGACCACGCGAGGCCTTAAAGGTCAGGACCAGCACCTTGAACTTGACTCAGGGCTCCACCGGAAGCCAGTGCAGCCTCGGGGGGGGGGGGAGGCTGGTCCTGCTCTGTTGTGATCTGGCCTCCCCTTTCAGAGGCAGCCCCTCCCATGCATAGGAGGAGTGACAAGTTGTTCCCGCTTATCCAGTTATCTAAGTTTATTATCCAGTCATTTTCTTCTTGTGAGTTCATGACTAGTATCTTCCAAGGAAACTCCCCTTTTCATACCTTGCCTTCATCAAAGGAACTGTTTCAGTTGTCCAACCAGTTCCATCACAGTGCAGAGATGTGCTCAATGTTGTTGGATTCTACAAGCAACTTTGTGCCTCCTCAGCTTTATAGATCGTCAAGACATGCCACACATTTTCTCATTTGTTAGGCTGTTGAATTATCATCCTCGCATGGCCTTCACCGCATATCCCGCTCCTGAGATCACATGTTAGGCTGCTTCTACTCAGAAGCCAAAGCCAGAGTTCTTCAGAAGTGAACTTCTGTAGCATTCAAGGATCAGGTTTGGGGTCCTGATTAACAGTGGCTACAAGATAGATGGCTTTAAAGAGGGATTAGAGATTTACAGAGGATAACTAGTTATTAAAGAACAATATTTGAAACTAATGGCCAAAATCAAGATTTATACAGAGCACTTGGTTTCAGAGCGTCATGGTTAAAATGGTCCTCCTTTGAGATATACTGGCAAGTGACATACTTAAAAACAGTGTTACACCTGAAACAAAATCCCAAGTAATCAAAATAGTTGGACATACAGAAGGAATCGGGGGGGACTGATTTCCTATAAAACATGATTTGACATGTAAACCGTAGTAGATGTCTGTTTGCCCACTTTGACCTCACTTTGCCCACACTCCCAGTGCTGGGGTTGTTTGAGGGAGCATTTGGCCCCGGATACCTCAGTAGTCTCCTCCTTTAAAAATCACCCTGTCTTTAGGGATAGTACCCAGCCCGGTAAATGCTCAAATTGGCATAAATACAAGCTGTACAGCTTTTGTCTTCCTGACTGGAATGGAAAAAGAAATTACATAAAGCCTGTGGCCCAGGTTTGCAATTCAGGACAGATATTGTGGTGCTGTAAAAGGTGTAGAAAGGGTGTTAGAGTACCTTCGCTATAAGGAAAGGCTATGGTATTTGGGGCTTTCAGTTTTAGGAAAAAAGACAAGGGGGGGACATAGAAGTGGTGAAAACAGGACTTTTTCTCTCCCCCCCACAAATACTTGGTCTCTTGGCATCCAATGAAATGAGTATCTAGTCAGCCAGCTGGAGTGCCCAGGAAACGTGATCTCACTGTGGGCGTCTCCTCCAGATTACGTCAGTGCAGAGTGTTCTGAGGGAGGCTGCCTCTGAAGGTTGACCAGAAGCTCTGAAGGTTGACCACTGTTAAAAGTGTGGTGGCCAGTCCAGCACGGTTTATGAGGAATGCATCTCACCAAGTTTCGAAGCTCTCCGTGGGCGGCCTGCTTCCTGCTGGGCCCAATTAAGAAATCTGGTTATTTCCGAGAAAGCCCTGATGGGCTTGGGACCAGGGTGCTGGAAGTCTCTCAAGTGACGCAAGCAGGCTTTCAGGCCTTCTCTTTGTGCCCTCACCGGTAGAGGCGAGGAGGGTGGAGCGCCAAGGGCGGGGCCGTTTTCAGCAGTGGTGGTGCCTTGATAAGAACACAAGAGGGGTGTACTGCATCGGACCAGTGTGGGTCCATCTAATCCAGCGTACTGTTTCATACAGTGGACAACCCGTTGTCCTCCGTGGCCAAACAGGACATAGGGGCTGAGGCCCTCTCTTGAAGCTGCTCCTCAGCACGACTAACCAGAGGCTTGCTGCTTCTGCACACGGACGCTCCCTTCGGTCACCATAGCTAGCAGCCACAGATGGACCTCTCCTCCATGAACCTGCCTGAGCCCCTTTCCACAGCCCTCTGTGCTCATGGCCATCACTGCCCCACTGGCAGTGGATTCCACCATTGGATCACTCTTGGATAGCTGTTGCTGTGACGGATCTGCATCTGGTGTCCTGCCCAGGACTCCTCCAGTGTCGAGAGGCTGGGTCTCCCGTGGTGGGGTCTCCAAGGCAGGATTGGGGCTCGATGGGTGTGCTGCTCAGCCTGCTGTCCAGCCGTCTCCCTGCCTGGTCATGGGGGGGGGGATGGTGTTGAAGACCCCTAAGCAGGCTTTAGGCACCAGGGGAAGGGAGAATTGTTTCCCCTCTTTTCTCATCAACTTCTGTGGCTATTCTGTGTTTTTATATTTTGGTTTCATTTTTTTTTTAATGGCCTTATTACTACTCTTTTTTTAAAAAAAATCATCCACTGAGTTTTCTTCTGTGCTTAGGCTGCATTGTTGACTGTTTCCTCGACAGTGATGGTGGGGGATGGGAAAGGGGGCTGTAAATATTTTGAACACCTAAATGGATTTGGTAGCAACTAGCCTAGCAAGACTTGGGGCGTGGGGGTGAGGACTGAGCTTTCTGGGGGGCGTTGGGGGGGGCTGTCACAGGAAAGGACGGAGTCCTTCCAGAATGATGGCGCCATTATTTGGCTGAGCCCAAGCCAGCAGGCCGCACGTAACCAGGATGGAGATGAAGGCACGTGTGCAATCTGTGCTGGGTGGAGGGGAGACAAGCAAGAGGCATCCCTGGGTCTCACGGGGCATCCCGAGACTTCTCCTGTGCTGTTTAGCAGCAAGTCAGAGCCATTACTTGGGGCTTGTGCAGCCGCCTTTGCCATGCCGCATAGATACATTGGAATGATCGGTAAAAGCTCGGACCCGGCTGTTCATGCTAGAAACAGGGTGATTACAGGGGGCACACACCTAAACAGTAGAGAAAGATTGCTTGAGAAGGTATAAGCATTTGGGCCTCTGGAAAATCATGGGAGGGAGCTGTGAAGAAGAGGGGGGAGGCCTTAATGAGCTTTCTGATCCTGCCCCCTCCCCCCAGTGCCATGGAAAACAGCCTCTCCTCTCCGCTGCTGCTGCTGCTGCTGCTGCTGCTGCTGCTGCTGCTGCTATTCAGCATTCATACTACAACCAGACCTCTTCTTTGTATTAGTTAAATTCCTTTTGCTCTTCAGTCCTCTTGCCGTAACGCTGCAGGCAAACCTCAAATTCAGCAGTTTCCCCTTTCTTGCAGATTATTTTGGAAAGGAAGGCAACTAACCAGCATCAGAAGCAGCAGCTCCAAAGAAAGGATCTCCAGCCCAGTTCCTCAGAGCCCCACCTCCCTACTGAACCTCTACGTAAGGAGCAGGGGGTGCCGCAGCCCCTCCCACCAAGTAGCTCTCCTCCCGGGCCGTCTGGAGCCGCCGTTCCTTGCGAAGCTCCCCACCAAAGCGCGAGCGAAATAAGACGTCTCTGCCCAAGGCCAACAACAAGTTCCACAGCGGGCCGCCTCATCGCCCACACCAGTGCCCACAGTACGTGCAGATCTCTGGCATGTTGGGTCCTTGGGAGGGGGGGAGGGAGGGGTGGGTGGGAGAGGCTG